TCACTGGTGCTGGGGGACACTTGGGATGGGGTCCTCAGGGGTTGCTCCATCCCATGGTCTGTTTTCTGGTTGGATCTGGCCCTTCCTGGTTTGTGGTTTTGAGGATCTTCAGGTCATCTCAGGAGCATTGGGATGGGGGGAGCTGCAGGACTGCCATGCACCAGAGGTTTTGCTTTCTCTTTTCCTTGCTGAGTGGAGGTGGCTCTGGTCCCCTGTGCTGTTGGTGACAGGCAGTGGTGTCACCAGTGCTGGAAGATGCCATGTCCCACCTGTTCTTGCCCCTGTTTGTGGCAGGTGGCCTTCTCCTGAGGTGGCATTTAGGAACTATCACAAGATGGGATGGGGGTTCAGGTCCAGCTTGTGTTGAGGGTGCTGTTCCAAGTCCCAGGGGCTTTGTGAAGAGAAGGACCACCATGGAGGTGCTGGCTGGGATCAGTTGGGTGACACTCACCGTGTCACTTGTGCCGGGTGGGAGGACAGAGAGTTGGGACACTGTTGCGGGGCTACAAGGACCACAGCAGGGCCAGGAGCAGAGGCTGCTCTAACCTGCATGAGCTTCTACTGCTGCTAACAAGCTTTGGTGGCATCTGCAACCCCATTGGGACCTCCCCTCACTCTGTTCCCTTTCCTTTGTGCATCTCTGAGGCTCTTGGGTGCCCGTGTCCCCCCCAGCACTGCCTGGCCATGTGTGCAGAGCATGGTGTTGGGGTGCAGCACTGTTCTCCACTGGGATCCTTGTGTGTCCATCACCCATCTTCCCCAGCTAAAGTGGAGCTTCTGGGCTGGTCTGGAGAGATGGAGAGAGGCGAGGGGGGGAGGAGGAGGCTGCAAAGTGTCTGCCCAGGACTGGCACATCCTACCCCACCACTGAGATCTTCTTGATCTCAAGGACGTGCCAGGAAACCACGACTCCCACCCATCCCATGGGCCCATCCAACTTCTGCAACGTGTGGAGAATCCTTCAGGGTTTCTCAGATCCTCCCATTTCTCACCAATCCTGGGGTCTCTGGGCTGTGGAACGACTTCCACCCTTCTCTCTCTGTTTCTCCATCACCTATTGGCACTAAAAGCCCCTGAATCTATTGGCCCATGAGAACATCCACCCTCGTTTCCATAACCCTCCATCCTCTCCTCATGTTCTTCTGCCAGCCTTTCCTAACCTCTCTCCATTTCTTTGTGCCTCAGATGAGTTTCCTGCTCTCGCGAAGCCTCTGAAAGCCACAGACCGTACGTCCCCTTACCCTCTTGGTTTGCAATCACCACTTGGTAATGGTTTTGCTGGTTCAACTGGTTCCATCAGGGCTGGAGAACTCGTTGGAATTGGGGGAACATCAGCTGCATCAGGCTGAGAGAGTTGGGGCTGTTCAGCCTGGAGAAGAGAAGGCTCCAGGGAGACCTTCTAGTGGCCTCCCAGTACCTGAAGGAGCTCCAGGAAGGCTGGGGAGGGACTTTGGCCAAGGGCAGGGAGTGACAGGACAAGGGGTGATGGCTTGAAAGTGGCAGAGGGGAGATGGAGCTGAGATGTGAGGAAGAAATTGTTTGGTGTGAGGGTGGTGAGCCAGTGTCCCAGGTTGGGCAGAGAAGCTGTGGCTGCTCCTCCCTGGAAGTGTTTGTGGCCAGGTTGGATGAGGCTTTGAGCAACCTGGTCTAGTGGAAGGTGTCCCTGCTGCTGGCAGGGGGGTTGGAACTGGATGAGTTTTGAGGTCCCTCCCAACCCAAACCAGTCCATGATTCTATGCCTGGGCACTTTGATGGGAAGAAGGAACAGCTCCAGCACGACCTCCCCCTGCCACTCCAGGGCAGTGGAGCCCCTTCTCCACAGCAAATTTGGGGTGTCCACGTTGGACAATGATGTCTCTGTGGTCCACTGTGGTGAACCCGCTGTGCACAGGGAGCAGCCAGCTCAGGAGCTCAGAGCAGGACCCTGCAGATGATTTCTGTCCCTTTGCTGCTCCTTCTGCTCGAGGTTTCCCCCAAAATGAGCCGTTCCCTTCTGAGGTCCCTCTTACTGCCCTACATGGAGCACGGGACCAGCTCCTTGGCTGGTTCACACCACCAAAGCCGTATTCTCCTTCTCTGGGGACCCTTCCCAGGACTGGGAAGCTCTGTGCCCCTTGTACATCCCCACACCCACCTTGTCTTTCTCCTGCAAAGAGGTAAGTTCTTGTAGGACTCAAAAAAGGTCAAAATCTGCAATATTTTTGGTGGTCTCCAGCCACATGCATGTGATCCCCGTGGTCCTGCAGCAAATCCCCACGGGACATGTCCTTGAGGTGCCTTCAGGACTCTCTCTAACAGCTCTTTCCCCTCGTGGTTCCCAGTGGATGATGGACTTGGGTTCCTACCAACCTTCGGTCCCTGCTATATCAACCTCTACGGCAGCCCCCGGGAGTTCACCGGCTTCCCCGACCCTTACGAGACGCTCAATTTAGGAAAGGTGACCTCAACTTCTCTCCAACATGACCTAAACTAAACTCTCACCCTTCCTTGCCCAAAAAAAGCTGCTTTTAACCCAAACTGGCTTTGTTGGTAGGAACCTGCACTGCGTTTTCTACCCCTGGCTGTTCCCGCTGCCTAAACATCTCCTGATGTTGTTCTGCTACTCAAATGCTCTCTGCTTTGGAAGCTCTTGTAGATATACTTGGCCTGATCTCACTCCTCTGCTATGAAACCCACTATCTGCAAAGGCAGATCTCACCTGTGGGGTGGGGACATCGGGGTCCTGACACCTGTCCTTGGTCTACCTCAAGGGTGAGGGAGTGGCGTATCGTGGTAGGATGCTGGTGGAACTGGAGACCAAACTGGTGGAGCACGTGGAGCAGAAGGTGGAGGACATTTCTGCAGATGACATCCTGCGGGTGGAGGTAACGAGGTCTCTGTGGGGTTGGTCTCTTCTCCCAGGTAGACAGTGATAGGATGAGAGGTGATGGCCTCAAATTGAACCATGGGAGGTTCAGGTTGGATTTTAGGAGAAATTTCTTCTCTGAAAGAGAGGTCAGAGGTAGGAACAGACTGCCCAGGGAAGTGGTGGAGTCACCATCCCTGGAGGTGTTCAAGAAACATGGTGATGATGAGTTGAGGGTTGAACTGGATGATCTTAGAGGTCTTTTCCAACCTTAATGATTCTGTGTCTCACCTTGTGAGCTCTGGGACTGGTCCTCTGGCACATGGCTTGTGGGACACTAAGGAAGTGGTGTAAGTGTTGTTCCTGGCTGGGTGATGTCCCATGGTCAGTGGGCTTCTGGAGGGTGTCTCCTGCTTCATCTCCATCCCAAGGTGTCCACCTTGCTCCATCAGAACTGCTGCATGGTAGAGAGTAGACCATGGTGAACATGGAGGGGTGGGAGATTTGCTTCAAGAGGACCCTAATCCCATCTCAAGTGCTGTTGCAGATGCTCTCCTTTGGCTCATTTCTTTAGGTTGAAACTACATTTTTATGGGAAGTTCTAACCTTCTCCTTTGTCAGGTTGTCCCTAAACATCTCGTTTCCCCAAACCTCCCCCCCCCCCCCCACCCCAAAATTCCCTTGTTTCAACGTCCACTTTTCTTCTCCACAATACACTTTTCCATCTTGGAGGCCTCACTGAGCTGGTGTGTGCCATGGTAGTGGAGGGTCTGTGTGTAGGAGAGCGATGATGGTGTCTCCTCTATGGACATGATCCTCTACCTGTTGCAGAAGTACCTGCGCCGTCGGAAGTACTCCCTCTTCGCTGCCTTCTACTCGGCCACCATGCTCCAAGATGTAGATGATGCCATCCAGTTTGAGGTCAGCATTGGCAACTATGGCAACAAATTTGACAACACCTGCATGCCCTTGGCCTCCACCACGCAGTACAGCCGGGCTGTCTTTGATGGTGAGCAACAAGGGGGTGACCAAGCACTGGGATGGGTTGTCCAAGGAGGGTGTGGAGTCTCCATCCTTGCAGATATTCAAAACTCAACTGGAATTGGTCATGGACAACCTGTTCAAGGTGATGCTGCTTGAGTAGGAGTTGAACCAGATGATCTCTAGAGATCTTTGCCCACCTTCAGCCATGCTGTGAATGGGGAAGATGTGACTGGGGAGGATTGGAGAAGTCAGGACAGTTTCTTCCAGCTCTGTGTTGGTTTGAAGTGGGTTTTGGGCATCACCTCGGTGCCAACAGTGCCCATTTTTCTTCAAGGATGAGCTAGTGCTTTGGGGTGGCCTTTCCCTGGCTCCTATGGGGCTCTCGCTCTGGTGTGAGATGTTCTCACCCCACCAGGGTTGTTCTGCTGGTTTCTGCCCTCACTGGTCTATAGGAGCTGCTGCAGCCATGGAGGTTGATATACATCCCTTTGGACCTTGGTGTGCATTGCTCATGAGTTTGGGGAACATCATCCCCATCCTCCTGCCCCAAAAGAGCCAAGTGATGGACTTCTGCTCAAGGCCAAATGCTGCACTGCCCACCTTCACCTCCATTCTGGTCCTGAGGAGTTGGGTCACCCCAAGGTGATGACCTCATTGCTGTACTGTGTCCTCCAGGTTGTCAATACTATTACCTGCCCTGGGGCAACGTCAAGCCTGTGGTGGTCTTGTCATCCTACTGGGAAGACATCAGCTATCGGACTGATGCTCAAAACCTTCTCCACTATGCAGCAGACAGGCTGGTGAGTACCATGAAACATTGTCCACCTTCTTTCTTCATCCTGCCTGGGGTGACAGGAAGGGGACAGAAGCCATCTCCAGGCTTGGTCAGGGTTGGGGTTTGATGACTCCTGTGCTGTGGAAGGGAAATCTGTTGGTGCCCTGGGTGACCTGCTCAGCTTTGGAAGGAAGGAGGGAAAGGGAATGCCCTCATCCCTGCTGGGGTGATGGTGGGACAGTGGGGTGTGAATGAAGTGCTTTGTCATGCCACCCACCTGCCTACTGATGCAGGTGCAGGAGACAAGGACCTTCCTTCAGCTCCTGAGCTCTTTCTGGGATTTCTTGCTGTATTTCACTGTCATAACCCCCAGATCTCCAACAGGAGAAACACCAGAGGTGCAGAGCCCTGGTGGGACCCAAACTGGAGTTTCTGGTCACGGGGAGCTGTCCCAGGCACTCGTTGAGGGTGTCCTGGATGTGGGATGGAGTGGGTTGCCAGGGAGCTCCCCACCATACAGCTTCTCTTCCCCACCTATCATGCAGGAAGCAAACCTGGAGAAGATCCACCTCGCTCTCAAAGCCAACCACTCGCCGAGTGAGCTGGATGTCCTGGGAGCTCAGCTGATGGATGATATCATCTCCGACTGCAGGTATCTCTGCCCATTTTGAGCGTGAGTCTTTTCATGCCTTTTATTGCAGGAGGACTTCTTTATCTTAGAAGGGACAACTTCTTCTTCTTTCTTTTCTTCTTCTCTGAAAACCACCGGTCATTTGCTAACGTTTGCTTCCAAGGTTGCTGAGCCAAGGCACGGAGTTGAGAAGGTGACATTTAAGGCAAGTCATAAATTTCCAGCCTTCAGGCAAAGGTTGCAGTGTGGTTCATCTGAATGAGGGACATTGTGTTGGAGCAGGAGATGGAGCCAGCCCAGCCAGAGGGATGGTGAGGCTCATGGAGTGA